TGGTCCACATTTCGGACAATTTGTTTCATCTATAAAGATCTAATCAGAAATTCAATAAAGGCACCATCATTATAAACAGTCTCGTATAATGGACTCGTTGCATGCGCGAGCAAATGGTGTTGGTCCAATCCGATCTAGTCCGAGATTTTTTCGAACAAGTGAGACGAGCAAGCATCGGGCGTGTCCTCTTTCTAATGACATGAAACGTTGAACATGATGTGTACATAACAACAGAAGCCACATGCTCAAACAGGCAGACTTTCCACGGTACCTTTACCAAATATTTCTACCTCTATATTACCTCTATATTTCCTTAATTTCAGAACTTTTTAACGTTATGACTGTGAGTTTTTGGAAATTGTAGAGTCTTCTGCCTCAGAAACTTGGTGGTTCAATTAGAAAGTCGGATCACCTTTAGAGCTGAGGAAGAGCTCGAAGACAATGCAAAGCACGTCCTTTCTTTTACAAGAAGGTCACATCAAGAGGACAGAATTGTTCTGTCCCAGTTACAAGAAGATAATTCCAGGAGACAGGCCGAGTTATCACATCTGAATGAAAGTTTTGTTTCAGTTGTGAATATTGTCGACTCCGCTTGAAGAAGTGTCATCAAGCATCTCGAGCTATTTTTTCTAATCTTTCGATAAATTTCTTTCGAAGCCAAACGCGTTTTCTAATAATTAAGTTTCATTATTGATGTTATTCAAACACAGGAAGAAAGTTTTATAAGAAGCGAATAAGAAATGTACGTGATAATACAGACTTAGCCATTTTTGTGTAATAAAATCCACAGTGCTTTGACAGTGTTTCTATCTTTCACAGCTAGTTAGATGGTTCATTATAATTGATATTTAGGTAGAGATATGTTCAATGCATCAGAAATGAAACATTCACATACAAGAAATACCGAAGAAATATACTAATTGAGATTGTCATTTCATGAAATCAAAAAGTGGCTGGATTTCCGTTCTAAGAGACAAATTATTATTATTTAAGTCTACATTTACATTACTCAGGCTGTTCTATTAATTGGAAACAATTTTTTTTATTGTAAAATAATCTAATCGTTTCTAAATCTTTCTGTATTCTAAAATTTAGTGTAAAGAAAGATGTAAATTATCTACAGTTCTACTTCAGATATTAGTCGCACTGCGTAGAATAAGTTCGAAAGTCAAGCCCAAGTTTGCACTTGTTAGAGACTTCTTTCAAATTTTTTTTTTTTTTTGTAAAATATGGGCAAAAAATCATTATACATTTCATTATATAAAGAATGAAAAACGATTTATTAATATTTTAATTAATAACTGCTTAATTTCGTGTTAAGATGTAATTTCTTACGAGAAAAAGGCATGTCGTATAATAAAGATATTGTAAAAATATAGTAAAAATTATTGCGAGAATATGCTCATTTGAATTGCTTTAACTGGTGCTTCAAATATCCAGTGAAAGAATGTTAGTTGTTTCTGTCACTTTGGTAAGTGATGGACAGAAGAACTATACAAAATCTCAAATAATTTATTCGAATAGAATTAGCGGTCTTCCTAACACACAAAATTTTGGCACAGAATTAGCAACATTCATATTTTTTTTGCATTTCAATTCCTATCGTCAGTATGTGCATCAGTGTTGCCGTGCAAACGCTGCTTAAGTCGGTACGGCAGGATGTGATACGAAAATGGTAAAGAGCATATGACAAAAATGCATTAGGTACCACATCTAGTCTGTATCTCGTTTGTGCTAAAGTTTTTACTTCGTGGTAAATTTGTGATTCCTACGAATAGGTAAGCTTGTATATTTAAGATCCAATTAAAAACTTAACGTCCTGAAATAATACTTTGCGAAGTAATAAAAAATTGTTATTATTTATGTTCATTTTCAAACACAATTGAGCAATATTATTATAATTTTCGAATTTATAAGAAAATTTTTGACAGTAATCGTGCTATTATTTTTTCATGTTTGATTGGGAATTAATTTATCATTAATTTTCGATAGAAAGATGTGTCAATAATAATTATAGAAGTGTTATAAAATTATGGTAAAATTGTGAAATTTTATTCAATGGAAAACTAGTATTTTATGTGTTTATAATAGTAATGTTTATAACCTATTACACATTAATTGGATTTTCAGAAATTTTTATATTTAAAGTAATTTTTGAAAAGCAAAGACGTATATAAATTTTTATTTTTGTTTTAGTTTAAAAATGGGTAAAGGAAACAATATAATTCCTAATGGTCATTTTCATAAAAAATGGCGAACACTTGTAAAAACATGTTTTAATCAACCGGCGACTAAACATCATCGGAAGAAAAACCGTACGATGAAAACTCGTGCTGTTATGCCGAGGTATATAATACACTTTTCTTTTACAGTTTATTTATTTAAATTAATTAAATTAATTTTAATAAATTTTTAGACCTGTGAAATTAATGAGACCCATAGTACAGTGCCCAACAGTGCGGTACCATAAAAAAATGAGACGAAAAGGTTTTACCTTGACTGAACTAAAAGTCAGTGGGTTAAATAAAAAATTTGCGAAAACCATTGGAATTGCGGTAGATGCAAGACGACGCAACAAGTCTGTTGAGTGTTTGCAAACAAACTCTCACAGACTCAAAGACTACAAATCGAAATTGATTCTCTTCCCAATAAACAAGAAGAAAGTAAGTATTGTTTTAAATTTAAGTGCTTAATTTTAAGGTAATTAAAAAAAAAATTATATACTAATGTTGTTTATGTAATTAGCTTAAAAGTGGTGATGCTCGTGAAAAAGAAATTTTCACACAAGTTAAAGGAGAAATCATGCCTGTTAGACACCCAGCACAAGTTAAAGCTAAGGCTCGTGTAATTTCCGAGACCGAGAAGAAGTTTTCTGCTTATATAACTGTTCGTACAGCTCGGGCTGATGCCAGGCTAGTAGGAATTCGTGCGAAATATGTCAAAGATGCAGCGGAGAGTCCAGATGAGGTTGCCAAAGACAAGAAAATTAAAAAATAATCTGAAATTTCACATCTTCGAGTAAATATAAAAATTAAATTATGTTATTTAATATTATTTGATGCTATTAGTTCATTCATTTGTAACGTATGTATTCATGTTATTTTCTATTACTCCCTTACTTTTGAATGATTCTTCTGCACTTCGACCACTTTAATCCTCGTCGCATGACTACACTGAAGATAATTCATTTCCTCAATTATTTTTCATTTCTTATAAAAATAAAAGAGAATATCGATTCTTACGAAACTTATGAATTTTTATTACATAAATATCATATCTTCGAGTATTGTTCGAACGTACATAAGAATAGTACTACTACTTATATAATCCAATTAATTATGTGACGCTCGTCGCGACATTAGACTTTTTGTACATAAAATTTATGTTGGATATTTTTGGAAATTATTTTCAACTCCAATCAAAATTAACACCATTTGCAGCCACAATGTTCTTCCAATAGGATTCTAATGTAAAAGTACTCTTTTCGAAGAAGTTTAGGAAGTTGTTAAAAACGATAACCTTGAGAGGCCTGAATTACTGAATTTTGGAGAATGAAATTCTTTTTAAGAATAATTTCAAATTTCTGAAAAGATGAATATCTGCTGGAGAGATTGCTAAGAAACTGGAGATATCACCATTGCTGGCTAGAAATTTGTTTGTTGGCTCCTGTACCGATACTCTTTTTTTAAAAATATCTAGCTGCTTTCAAACGACATTTCAAATTGATCAAAAAGAATATTACTTGATAAGGAGAAATCGTTAAATATTTACCATCAAGAGGCCTCGCTCGTCGCTTTAATTAAATTTCTAAAAACCAAGAATGACACCGAATTTGATGAACATCTCGGACTATTTCGGGCAATCAAAAATAACATCTTGTGAATCAGGCGGAGAGGCCTTGCAGTTTCAGTTGTTTTATTAGTTCTGTTATGGTAAGTAATGAAAAGAATTGAAATATGTATCGATCCAAAGTACACGTTTTTCCGCATTTTTTGAACCAGTTGGCCTTTCAATCATCCCACCTATTTAATTTTCTGATTTACAGATTTCCCATCCAAGTTATCATTATCATTCCCATTTTCAGTTCTTTTTAATTCTTATGATTCTGTTTTTAGCTTCCATTATGTCTTTGGTTTTTTAGGTCTCTGCCACGGATGGAGATTTTCAGAGTCATGATGGCTTATTTTTGGAAATTTAATCTTGTATAGCTCTACATGCTCCTGGATTTTCAACCCAGAATGTCAGCTAGGATACAAAAGACGCACCTATGTAGTAGTCTTGTCCTGCTATAGTAACTCCTACCTGGTCTCCTGCTCCTTCTTCATCTGCATCCGATTCTTTTCCACAAAATCCGTACTGGAACAGCATACAGGATGATGAATTCTCACACGTTACAATAATAATAGCAGTAAGCTGCGCCAGGCCCCAACAATGTGCACTGATATTGCAAATTGACGAAATTTCGCGTCAGTTGTAGCTTTGGTCCACATTTCGGACAATTTGTTTCATCTATAAAGATCTAATCAGAAATTCAATAAAGGCACCATCATTATAAACA